ATCCCTCACGCGTTCCGTGGCCCCATAGGGAGCTCCACCGAAGGCCCCAGTGGCAGGGTCCGCATGGCGGCCCCGCATTTTGGCGCACCCCTCACACGGTTCGTGGCCCCAGAGGGAGCTCCACCGAAGGCCCCAGTGGCATGGTCCGCATGGCGGCCCCGCATTTTGGCGCACCCCTCACACGGTTCGTGGCCCCATGGGGAACCCCACCGAAGGCCCCAGTGGCAGGGTCCGCATGGCGGCCCTGCATTGGGGCGCACCCCTCACACGGTTCGTGGCCCCAGAGGGAGCTCCACCGAAGGCCCCAGTGGCAGGGTCCGCATGGCGGCCCCGCATTTTGGCCCGCCCCTCACACGGTTCGTGGCCCCATAGGGAGCTCCACCGAAGGCCCCAGTGGCAGGGTCCGCATGGCGGCCCCGCATTTTGGCCCGCCCCTCGCACGTTTCGTGGCCCCATAGGGAGCTCCACCGAAGGCCCCAGTGGCAGGGTCCGCATGGCGGCCCCATTTGGCGCACCCCTCACACGGTTCGTGGCCCCATAGGGAGCTCCACCGAAGGCCCCAGTGGCAGGGTTCGCATGGCGGCCCCGCATTTTGGCGCACCCCTCACACGGTTCGTGGCCCCATAGGGAGCTCCACTAGGCCCCAGTGGCAGGGTCCGCATGGCGGACCCGCCCATTTTGGCGCACCCCTCACACGGTTCGTGGCCCCATAGGGAGTTCCACCGAAGGCCCCAGTGGCAGGGTCCGCATGGCGGCCCCGCCCCATTTTGGCGCACCCTTCACACGGTTCGTGGCCCCATAGGGAGCTCCACCGAAGATGATGCCCACAATTGCGGTATTAACAATTGTTTATGGTTGGGTCTTTCGCCAGGGTATTTTTTTTTGTTTTCAACCATCCTGTGGTTGGGTCCTCGTTTTGAAGAGACAGCGCCCCGCGTTCCCACCTCCCGCTGCCCCCTCCCCCCTCCCTCTCCTCCCTCCTCCTCCCTCTCCTCCCTCCTCATTGCGTTTCACCCACCCATTACAGCGCTTCGTGGCTCCATAGGGAGCTCCAGCAAAGGCCCCAGTGGCAGGGTCCGCATGCAGTTCCACCTCCATTTCGGCGCACCTCTCACACGCTTCGTGGCCCCATAGGGTGCTCCACCCAAGGCCCCAGTGGCAGGGTCCGCATGCAGTTCCACCCCCATGTCGGCGCACCCGTCACACGCTTCGTGGCCCCATAGGGTGCTCCACCGAAGGCCCCAGTGGCAGGGTCCGCATGCAGTTCCACCTCCATTTCGGCGCACTCCTCACACGTTTCGCGGCCCCATAGGGTGATCCGCTGAAGGCCCCAGTGGCAGGGTCCGCATGCAGTTCCACATCCATTTCGGCGCACCCCTTCCACATTTCGTGGCCCCATAGGGTGCTCCGCCCAAGGCACCAGCGGCAGGGTCCGCATGCAGTTCCACCCCCATTTCGGCGCACCCCTCATACGTTTCGTGGCCCGATAGGGTGCTCCGCCGAAGGCCCCGGTGGCAGGGTCCGCATGCAGTTCCACCCCCATTTCGGCGCACCCCTCACACGCTTCGTGGCTCCATAGGGTGCTCCGCCGAAGGCCCCAGAGGCAGGGCCTGCATGCAGTTTCATCACCATTTCGGCACACCCCTCACACGTTTCGTGGCTCCATAGGGTGCTCCGCCGAAGGCCCCAGTGGCAGGGTCCGCATGCAGTTCCACCCCCATTTCGGCGCACCCCTCACACACTTCGTGGCCCCATAGGGTGCTCCGTCGAAGGCCCTCGTGACAAGGTCCGCATGCAGTTCCACCCCCATCTCGGCGCACCCCTCACACTTTTCGTGGCCCCATCGGGTGCTCCGCCGAAGGCCCCGGTGGCAGGGTCAGCATGCAGTTTCATCCCCATTTCGGCGCACCTCTCACACGTTTCGTGGACCCATAGGGTGCTCCGCGGAAGGCCCCGGTGGCAGGGTCAGCATGCAGTTTCATCCCCATTTCGGCGCACCCCTCACACGCTTCGTGGCCCCATACGGTGCTCCGCCGTAGGCTCCAGTGGCAGGGTCGACATGCAGGTCCACCTCCATTTCGGCGCACCCCTCACACGTTTCGTTACCCCATAGGGTGCTCCATTCAAGGCCCCCGTGGCAAGTCCGCATGCAGCTCCCCCTCCATGTCGGCGCACCCCTCACACGTTTCGTGGCCCCATGGAGTGTTCCACTTAGGGCCCCAGCGGCAGGTTCCGCATGCAGTTCCCCCTCCATTTCGGCGCACCCCTTCCACGTTTCGCGGCCACCAAAGGCCCTGGTGGCAGCGCCCGCACGTGGTTCCACCCTGCATTTCGGCGCACCCCTCACGCGTTTCGTGGCCTCATATGGGGCTGCACCGACGGCTCCTGTGGCAGCGTCCGCATGGCGTACCCGTGCCAATGTTGGCACACCCGTCACACGCGTCGTGGTCTCAGAGGGATGTTCACCGAGGACGATACGCACACCTGCGTTACACACAGCTGCACATGGTTGGGCCCTTCGCCGGGATAATTTTTATCTCGCTCGGAAGCGCAGCTAGAGCGATGAGATCGCGTTTCTTATTTCAGGGGCATTGAAGTAATATTATTCAGAGTGTGCGCGAGTCGTTGCAATATAATTTGATGCTGAAAGGCTGCCTTGTCACTGCCTTGTCGAGCGGCATTTGCGCCGCAATGCGGATGGGCAAATCGTATATCTAACGCCACTTGCATGTTTGCAATGTCTGTATTTATCTGTCTGATATGAACAATTTCAATAGTTTTTAACAGTCTACTTAATACAATATTTAACAAACGACTCAATATCATCCTAAAGCGAAGTGGGTGTGTAATACCTTATGAAGTAAATGTCAAGTATTCATGCGCAAATACAAAACATTTAAGTATTTTTGTGAGAATTCGAATATTTCTAATTGTTTTCATACCACATAAGAAACTACCTACGTTTAACGGTTGACAGAATCTCAAAAGTTTTACTGGACAAACTAATGAAACGATTAAAGTTCACATCTTCATACAGTGGGGCAGCGTTGTATTATTTTACCATTTAAATTTGTTTGTGCCGGTTGAAAATTAAATACATATGAGATAAGTTTGAAGGGTTGCGTAATTACATAGAAAGGCAGAAACATAACATATTCAAATATGTAAATTGGCATCGTCTTGAAGTGCGGCATAGTCGTACTGGTTGACCTGTTTGAATATTGAAATTCTGTAGATTCGCAGAATTATTGCAACGTTGAATGGTTTTCAAAAGCCTCAATTAATAATTCATCGCATATCAACGCCCTGTTTGATTTCAAGACGATGCTAATTTTAACTGATCTCAGTATTTGTATTAATTACGTTTTACTACATTCCTTTCATGATTAAATGATTTGCAAAGGTCAAATAATTTAAATAATTTAATTCATAAGGTATTACGCATGTAATTAGTAACTACTTGAAGCAGTTTAAACCGGCGTCGTCCTAAGGTGTGGCAGAGTCTTTGTGTTTGATTAATTCAATTATTCACATTCTGTACATATTTTAAAATTGCCCAAAGATAAGTTCAAATAGTTTGGAACATTTAATTAATCGAATATTAGTATTCTGTCTTACTTCATGGTGGTGTTGATTTTTAATGCTGTAATGTTTTTAATACTTTAAGTATTCTCAAAATTCTTGAATGTGGGCAATATTTGAATAATAAAAACATTCAAAGAAATTAGGCAATTTAATCCATGGAAGATTATGAGCTTGCATTACTTTAGGACGATGCTAAGTTTAAGTGGTTCAATTATTTAGAATTGAAAATATGTAAATTCATGTTTTCTAATTGTATTTCATATTCGCATGATTTACAATAGTAGAACTGAAATACTTTAATGCGTAAAAATATCACTGATTTAATGAGTAAACTAAGTCAATCGTTTTAAATCGGCATCGTCCTAACGTGCAGCAGACTCGCAATCCTTTTTATTAGTCTATGTCAATTACATAACATGTTTGGAACTACACAAATATTAAAACATTCGAACAGTTTAATATTTTCAATAATTAATAGAATATTACGATTCTGTCTCACTGCACGACGTTGTTAATTTCTAATGATTTAGCTTTTATTAAGTAAGCCTTTAATGCATTGTTTTAAAGGAGCATAAACACAGAACTATATTAACAATCAATGGCCCAACCAATCATGTATTTCCATGGTGTAAAAATGGTATACATGAGAAAACTAGTAATCGATCACGAGTATGCACTCGTGTAGGACGATTTAAACTTTAAGTGATTTAATAATTTCGTTTTCTATGAAACAAGAATTTAAGAGCGAACTAATCACATAGAGTTTAAGTAATTTGAATAATGTAGGTAATCAGATGCTACGAACCTGCATCACTTTGGGATGTTGCTTTCTATACGTATATATGTGTATATATATATATGAATGACCAACACTGCCCAACAGTTGATCGAACTCAGTATCTATATTTTCATTTGTAATAGAAAATCGGTAAAACATGTTGATTTTATTGAAACGTATTTCAAGAACCTTACGAACCCGCATCACTGCAACCGGTACTTATTTATATAATTTCGCTATCTTATTCACTAAATTGTTTAAATTAAGTAAACCTAGTAAATTATTCAAAATCAGATGATTAAAATATTTCAATATAGTTTACGTACATGGTTAACCACAAATTTAGAAGTTGACGCACTTAGGTAGCAACTTTTCAATGTTTAACATATTCAAACTATTTAATTCATTTGGTTACCATGTATTCAATGTTTTTTTTAAATCAGATTCCAAATCTGACTGATTTTGTCCTCAATCGTATATATATGCACACATATATGTTTATATATACATATATATATATATATATATATCGATCCATCGATGTATCGATCAGTCGATATATCGATCTATCGATCGGTCTGTTCATTGCGGAATTCTGGCCCTCCGGCCTGTTTCCAGGGCTCCCCCCCCCCTTCTG